TGATAGGGGGGTGTGAGAGTATAACGCATGATAGGGGGGTGTGAGAGTATAACGCGTGATGGGGGGTGTGAGAGTATAATGCGTGATGGGGGGTGTGAGAGTATAACGCATGATAGGGGGGTGTGAGAGTATAATGCATGATAGGGGGGTGAGATGATACCAGCAGCTCAGCAGTATTGCGCCAGCTGGATATTCATGTGGGAAAAACATTGGCTTCATACTACATTCCATACACACAATAAATTCCAGATGGTATAAAAGACTTTATTTTAAAAACTATAAACTAGAAGAAAAGGCAGTGTTTTATAATTGTAGGGTGTGGAGGGAATTCTCAAGCCAGCTAAAAAAACCATAAAGGGATGGAGTTACAGATTTGATTGTGTAAAAACTCTAAATGTCTCTGTGGTAAGAGATACCATAAAGTTAGAAGACAAGCAACAGATAGGTTTCACAACCTATATAATAGACTATTTAAAGAAAATCTTTCAAATCAAGAAAGACAGGCTATCTAATAGAAAAGGAGACAAAAAATTCAAGCAGGCATTTCACACAAAAGAAAATGCCAGTAACCAGATTCAAATGGAAAAAAATACAATGTCCAGCTTCAATCAAGAGTGAAGAATTGCTGTTCCAAAGAGGTTTCCACTCTTCAGCCATCCGTTTCACAGAAATGCAAAGGATGGGTGGTATGCAGTGTTGTGGCTGTTCAGGGCCCTCTCTGATGAGTATAAATTGTTTGGAGGACAGTCTGGAGGGTTTGGAGTTTTCTGTGGTTTCCCTTGATCCTGCTACCAAAAAACAACAAACTCACTGCCACTGAGTCAGATCTGACTCATAGTGACCTCTCCTTGGGTTTCCAAGGTAGAATCTCTGCAGAAGTAGATTGCCCCATTTTCCTCCCAAGGAGCGGCTGGTGGGTTTGAACTACCGGCCTTCTGGTTAGCAGTCAAATGCCTTAGGTACTACGCTACCAGAGCTCCTAGATCCTGCTACTCCATGTTTACTGTGCCCGGTAGAAGCACACATGCATACGCACAGTGCCAGGGCCCGACCTGTGGGGCACACCGTTGCTTATGGTCTGCAAGGCAGGACTTCGTGGCCTGGTAGGAATACGCTCCTCTTGGAGATTAAGAATCTGTATTGAAAGAAAATAAACAGGACTAGGAATTCAGAAAGGAGATTGGTCCCAGGGCAGAGGGTTCCAATCACTTCCTACTTCTAAAATTGAATTTGTATTCTGCGTGTTAGGGCCGCTAGATCCACAGGTGTGTGAGGGAGGAACTGTAGCTAAGAGAAGTAGGGTTTCATGTGTGCCCTTCCCCACACCTGTCTCAACCAGAACTGAAGATTAGAGAAGGTTATTAATAGAAGTCTGATTGGACTTTATTCAGACCAAATGAACTGTAGGATCCTATCTTAGTTGAATTGTTATTTTCTTTTGAAACCAGTTCAAACTTTAAGAAAATTTGCAAAACTTGAAAGTATTACAAAGACTCATGTTCCCTTTACCTAGATCCACCTGTTAATATTTGACCTCATTGCTTTAATATTCACACAATCTCTCTCTCTCTCTCCATACATACATAGAATTTTTTCTGAAATCTGTGCAGGATCATAGGAAAATGAGTACTCGGGCTTCAGGGATTGTATACTAAAAATAGAGAAAAGATTTTCTAATCTTTATTCCCCAGAGACATTAAGTGAAAAAGATGTAATTCTTTCACTGGTTAGTTCCGTGAGCTATGTCAGGAGCTCTGGGTGTCCTAGGCAGGTAATGTATCTCCAACCTAGAAGTGGTAGGAGAGTGGCATCGGTGGGGAAATGTCCAGGGGTCTCTGAGGGGGGCCTCCTCGCGCGCTCCTGCAAATGCCCAGAATGTAGGTTACTCATTAGAACCAGCTGGAGGTGGTGGTTGTTGTTATGTGCCGTGGAGTCGCCCCCAACTCATAGCAACCCCTCCTTGGGTTTCCGAGGCACTACGGAAGTAGATTGCCCAACCTTCCTTCCGAGGAGTGGCTGGTGGGTTTGAACTGCCAGCCTTCTGGTTAGCAGTCAAGTACCTTAGGCACTACGCTACCAGAGCTCCAGCAGCTGGAGGTAGGGACGCTGATTTAGAGGTGATGGCAGTATAGTGAGGGCCTGCACTGGGGTGACACATTGAGAAGAGAGAGGAGACGTGTGTGGTACTGTCCTAGGGACAAGGAGTTGTGAAAGAGGAGGGGAGTCCAGGCTGACGTGTTTTCAGACTGGTGACTGACTCATATCTTGGAGAGGAGATGATTCTGAGGGGTTGATAACCCTCATATGAAAGGTCTGACAGGCAAGAGGACGTTTGGGAGTGGAACTAGAAGACGACTGTGAAAAGAGTAGCCATGGTTGTTGTTGTTGTTGTTATGTGCCGTTGAGTCGGACCTGACTCATAGCAAGCCCTTCTTGGGTTTCCGGCAGTATCGCCACGGAAGTAGATTGCCCCATCTTCCTTCCGAGGAGTGGCTGGTGGGTTTGAACTGCTAGCCTTCTGGTTAGCAGTCAAGTGCCTTAGCCACTGTGCTACCAGAGCTCCTCCACGTTTGCTAAGAAAGAGAAAAGAAACTATAAAGAGAACCTTAAGCAATGTCTCAGAGCTACCATACTGCTCATAGTGGTTATTGGTTTGTTTGAAGGAGAAAGTTTTTTGGTACCGGGGTGTGGGGATGTGGGAAGATTGCAGGGAGCAGCCCTATTCCATTTCACCCTTTGCAAAAAAAAAAAAAGACTTCTGGGCAGGGTGGAGGTCCACTAAACTGGGGCTTGCCTGGTCTGAGGTACTTTGAAATATAAATCACTCAAGACCGAGGGGGAAGCCCTGTGGTGTGTCTTCTGGTTTAATTAGTACATGTACAGCATTAGCTATTATTGTTGCCATATTTCCAATTGGGAAGCAAGGCTGTCTTGGAAGAATGAGGTCTGCTTAACCCTGGAAACACTGAGTCAGAGCTGAGATCTAAGGAGAGACTTCAGAGGCCTCCACTGGGCTTTTTTCATTCTAAAGATTGAAGAATTTTGAAACATCAACTGGTGTGATTCTGGGATATTTCCAATTTCTGGTTTTTTTTGTTGTTGTTGTTAACCTGCCATTTTCCCCAAAATAATCATACGTGAAACCATTATAAGAACCAAAGCCTTGGGTACTTGCCTTGGGCTAACAGCAGGAACACCAGGGGCTCCTGGCAAGAGTTGGCCCTAACCTGTAGCTAGCTCCACAGATGAATCTGGAGGGCAGGGGATGGGGTGACTGCCCACTGAAATGCAGCCTGGCTCCCCAAGGCAGGAGCTGGTGGGCATGTGCAAGGGGCAAGGGAAAAAGCAGCAGAAAGGCCTGTGTGTGCTGTGCTGACAGGCTTCCACAGGCGTGGAGCAGTCACACAGCATGAGGCCTGAGAAGGGCTTATTGGATTTGGCATTCAGGACATTATTTGTACCCTTTGGGAAATAAAAATTTTTTTCTCCACAGTGAAGAGAGTACTGAAATGCAGTACTCTACCAGATGAATGTATCCTAAAAAGTTTATTTCTCATTTCATGCAATAAATGTATCTCTAGAAAATTCTGGTGATGTTTTAAAATGTGTGTGGGAGCCTCCTGTTAACAGCGTTCCCAGTATGTAAGCAGGCATGCATACAAACATATCATGTTCCCTTTCAGGTTTTAAGTGTTTGATAATTTTGGGCTTCCGTTAGGCAGTGGTCCATCACCACCATCGAGTTCATCGTGACTGATGGCGGCCTCACGTGTCACAGTAGCATTGTGCTCTGTAGGGTCTTCGATGGCCCTTTTTCTTTGGAGGGGACTTAAACTTCCAGCCTTTCAGTTAGCAGCCAATCACCTTATCTGTTTATACCACCTAGGGATTCGATAAGGCAGGGTGTATCTGTCTGTGTTTCTTTGTATTTATTACTTGTTACGCTAATTAATATACCAGAGTATACGTCAAGTGACTGTTTCTTCTGATTGTCTCACTGGAACGCTATGTACTCTATAGATACTGCTGGTCTTAGGTGCTATCAAGTCAGGTCCAGCTCAGTGACCCTGGGTCCGGGTTGACCGTGCGCTGTCTTCACGCTCGCTGCCGTGTTTGAGCCCACTGTGTCGGTCCGCCTCATTGAATGTCCTCGCTTCTGCTACCTTCCCAAACATGATGTCCTCCTTCAGAAATCGGTCCTCCTTATAGCCACAGTATGTGAGGTGGTATCTTGCCATCTTGCTTCTAAGGAGAATTCTGGCTGTACTTCTTCCAAGAGAGATTTGTTCATTCTTCTGGCAGTCTGTGGTGTCTTCAGTATTCTTCACCAGACCATAATTCAGAGACATTAATCCTCCTCCAGTCTTCCTTATTCATTGCCTAGCTTTCGCATGCATATGAGGCTATGGAAAATATGGTTTGGGTCAGGTGTACTTTAGTCCTCAAATTGACATCTTTAGTATAGATACAGCAGTTGTTTAATACCGTTTTAGAAATTGTATTTTGGATCAGCATTAGACAGTCTCAGTGTACGCTTTTTTACCTCTGCCTAGGGTCTTCACAAATAAAGGGGGTAGAACTGAGGGAAAGTGTGTTTAATTCATTACATTAGGTGAAGAAAATCGCAATCACAGACCAACAGGGAGCATGGTACAGACTTGTGAGATGCTGTGTGGTAACAGGCCCTGGGTCTCCTGCGTCTATTGAGTAGAGAGGTCTGCTGACTCCATATTTGTTGTCACTCTCTGCACACAGGTCAGGGCCCTTTGAAGTACGAGCTGACCTTGAGGAGTCCATGGAATTTGTGGATCCTGGAGTTGCTGGAGAATCAGATGAGAGTGGAGACGAGCACATAAGTGATGAAGAGACCGACCTGGGCACGGACTGGGAGAACCTGCCGAGCCCCCGGTTTTGTGACATCCCTTCCCAGCCTGTGGAAGTCTCCCAGAGCCAGAGCACCCAGGCGTCCCCGCCGATTGCGAGCAGTAGTGCGGGCGGGATGATCTCTTCAGCAGCAGCCTCGGTGACCTCCTGGTTTAAAGCTTACACTGGACACCGCTAATGAGCATGGGCAATAGATGCCAAACCTGCAGCAAGAAAGTTCTTCTCCCACTACATACACTCTAGTAAACCTTTCTGTGTTTAGTTAACAGTGTGCCTGGGAAAAGAATGATTAAACTGTTTTTTTAGCAGGAAGACAAGCATTTCTGTCTGCCAGGTGTGACCAATATGCTATAAAATGGGTCTGTGTTTATGATAAGAAGACAGGAGTCAAAAGTCCTTCTACCCCAACAAGTGTTTGGAAGAAGGACCTGCACATGTGGCCAGTTCTTGATTCTGTGAAGCAGCAGTTCATTTGGGCTCCCTCTGATCTGATCACAGACCACAGGACCTACAGAAACCACCAAGGTGGCTTCATGTGTTGGCCTTTGTGATGCAGAGGCTGTTCCCAACACTTTGTTTTAAAAGTTGAATCATAAGGAAGTGATTCTTGATGAGGACTTGAAAGATAAAAACTATTTAATGAGAGTTTGTTTAATGGCATCATTTTTTGTACAGAGGCCATTTGAAATATTTGATTTCTTTGTAATTTGGGCATCTTGGGTTTTCAGGTCAAGGGTTTGGTTTTGTTTGGGAGTGGTGCTTTTTTGGGGGGAGGAGTAGTTTAAAGATAATTTCATTTGTGCTGCTCTGTTGTAGCTCATCAGACATTCCTGTTTTTCTTTCTGCCCACACACCAAAGAAACTAAGGTCTTTTTTAAGGACCTGTGCCCATGAACTGAAGAAGTCCTAGCTGCAGTGATGTCCTAGAAATCTTCAAACTCTTTTCTTGTATTCTGAGAGGAATTAAGCTCATTCTTAGCTAGATGTTTAAATTGCTACCATCCACATTAGGTGCATTTTGAAACTGAATTTGTTTTCTACGAGTGAAAGTCATTAAGGTCATTCCATTGTGTGAGCTAAATGCCTGCCTGGGCACAGGGTACAAGCTACTTAAATTAAGTGGCTCTTGATCATTCTTCTGGTGTCTACTCTCTTTTAAGGAATTTAGTAGGTGGCAGGTGTTTCCAGGGAAACCATCCCATTTGTTTGTTTTGTGGAGGTCTTTGTTGCTTGGAAGACACTACCTTTGCTCCGAAATGCAGAGCAGGTCCTCATAGCTGACCTGCTCTGTCTGATCGTACTCTGTATCTTGGGGAAAGCTCAGATACAAAGAATTTTCCACCACCAAGAGATGACTTTCAGCTAATGTGTCTTGTCATTCTCTTAGTGACAATCTTACAAGAAAACTGTCATGAGAAGGCATTATGTACAAATAATGTAGTTTTTTTTTTTAATAACTAAAAAAAAAAACCACCTATGTAACGACTATGAAAAATTCCTAGCAGGCATTATTACCGTATCTTGTTAGCATAATTAGCATGATAGTACCTCAGACAAATCAGTTAGAGGTTTACTCTGTCCTAGGTTTTTTTTCTCATTGTAATTATTATAGTTGAAACTTTGCCTCCAAATCTGAGGTGCTATATAGTTTTTGCTATTGGTGTAATTGGTGTTCGGTAGAGTTTTGCAGGGAGAGGTTTATTCCTATCCAGGAGTACCAAATTCCGATTCTTTGAAATTTTCCACTTAGGGAACAGGCTCTTCCAAACCTTGTGGTTCTTACATAGCCACTGTGTCTGTTTAAAGTGCTCAGTTTCAGGACTGCTGGGCTTGCATATTTTACCATTCAGTTCCATAGTTCATAGAGTGGGTATGGTAAACTTACACCAGATGAACTTGAAATCCCATGAGATAAAAAGAGTTGTCTAGCTACTTCAGACCCTCAGAAGAATTGAATAGCTTCATCTCAAGAGTTAGAAGATTGGGATTTGGGCTTGCGGATAGCGATGACTTCAGCTGGGAGATCTGTAGCAGGCATGGTTTTCTCAAGTAAGCCTCCTGTGGAACTATGGATGTGAGATGGAGCTAAACGATAGAATCCAATCACAGACATATCTAAAAGTAATCCAGCAAAATGTACAAGGATGTGGCCAATATAGGGGTTGATAGAGTATATTTTGTTATTATTAATCTCAACTAGAGGCACTTTACTTAGGGTTAAGTGATCAAACCCTTTGGTGGTTTTAAACACCGACATACTGGCTTACACTGCTGAGATGTTTTGGTTTTCATTATTTTGCACTGGATCCACCCTGTAAATATTCTAAAATATACATTTCAACCACTGTTTTTTCTACTCTTTTTGCTGCTCATTAATATCTTTCATGTAGGTGTCAGAACCATATGTAAACAGCTTTCAAAAAAACTGAAGCTGGTATATATATATATATATTTTTAAAGAAACAAAAAGCCATAGAACTTGGTCATGTTTTCCATTTTAAAATGATTTATTGAAACAAGGTTAATACTAATAAATAAATCTGCAGGCACCAAATAGGCTGCTTAAAATGATCTGTTCAAGACTTTTTTGTAATGGAACATAACTAAGAAGTTTTGCACATCTGTAAGTTAAAGGGAAAAACAGTATGTCAGCACTGAGTGTAGCAGACAGAATGCATTGGAGGATTCACATATAGCTGTATGGAAGAAACACTCAGTGGCATGCTGTAAAAGAATCCCCGTGTCTGAGGGTCTCCTCGCAGTCACATTGCAGGAATTTCCCATTGCTCTGCAACTTCCAAACAAGTTTAAGTCATACAAATGTTTTCTAAATTTTTATTGTATTACTGCAATAAATCTTTTAATGTATTTTGCTGACATGTCATTTTTCAAGTTCTGAGAATTCATTTCTCCTCCTACACTGAGGGTAGCAGAAAATGAGATCTAACCCTGCAATGTTTTATACATCTTTTTAAATAATTTTTCTGGAATTCTTCTGCTAGCTAAGAAAAAATGCCTACTAATGTTTTTTAAAACTATAGTAAGCATCCATCATTACCAAGCCAGAAGCTGGTTGCTTACCAGTTACGTACTTTAAAGTGTTTTCTTGACAGCCTTCGTATGATGTGTACAGCCTACAGTGGCTTGGTGGCCTTGGCAGTTGTTTAGCCTTGTCTTAGCCATCCGCAGGCAATGGCACCGTGAAGGGAGTGGGCCTCTGGGGTGTCCGTGTGCAGCCTGCGCAGCTCTTCTTTGGGACGAGAGAGAAAGAAGGGGCAGTAGAGGAGGCCTGCCAAGCTGAGACAACTGTAATTTTGTAGAAATCCTTTTATTTTTTTTCTAGTCTCCCAGATGGAAAGTCTGTACCTTCAGAGTTATATGATGATGGAAAGGGACCACCTGCAGGTGGAGGGGTATGCCAACATGGCTGTGGAGGAACTATCTGGCAACTCAGACAAATACTGAAGAGCCAGTGCCCTGTCTGTCCTACCCCTTTACCAGGAGTGGACAGCTAGTTAGCAACAGGAGGAAACAGGCAAGGAAATGGAAGAGTTCCCAAATAGGATTTGTGCCTAAGTCCCCAGTGCTGTGGTGGTACTGTTCTTTCATTTCTCAAGGTAAAAGTTAAAAACATGCCCCTATCTAGTGCAAACAAACACAGCCAGAGTTACGTCATGGCTGATCAGAAATCAGGCTGAAGCAGATGCTAAGCACTAAGGATGACTTACTAGATTAGTGGGTGGAGGTGGGGGTGATCATTTGAAAGTTGCTTCAACAAAATGACCCAGGAAATTTGAAACTCTTGAGGAAGCCATCCACGCCTCAGCTGTGAAACTCTCAGTGAGGAAAACCCACAACCAGTAACCCCATTCCATTCCAAGGATTTTGGTGAGAAAATACCCTGGAAAAAGCATTCTACCATCTGTGTAAAGCTACACAGAGGAAATGGAGTAACAAAAAACCCTGAAACCACTAATGGGATGATCTTTTCTGGAAGAAAGGATGGTAAAGTAGTAAGAGACACATCAGTGCCTTTTCCTATGAAGGACTGAGGGAGGATTGTTGTTGTTGTTGTTATTTGCCGTCAAGTCGCCCCCGACTCATAGCGACCCCTCCTTGGGTTTCCGAGGCAGTATCACTACGGAAGTAGGATTGCCCAACCTTCCTTCCGAGGATATGTGGGGGGAAAATCTGGGGAATTTGGCTCCCTTTAAGAAATGACAAAATGGCAGGCGGTATTTGGCACCACTAGGTTAAGTGTTGGGAAATGTACTATAGCCAACTGAGTGGAAGAACTTCACAGACATTAAGGGTCCTGTAGGTGATGTATTTATCCTTCTCTAGATCCATGTCTGACTTAAGTCATTGCCCTTGTTGGGTGTGGCTTTTTCCTCTTACTGTATGACTTTAAAAGGCAAGTGCATTTTGAAAAAAGCTTTCCTACCCTCCCACCAACAGCTGATTTCCCTAAATTCAGAAACATCAGGAAGAGGATTCTAGACTGTAAGCAAGAACGTGGCTCTCAATCTGGGTAAGAAAGTGCTAAGTGATCTGAAAGGAGTAGGTGGAAGAGGTGCACCTCCCATGTCTTACATGATCACCAATGTAATACTTGGCTTCAAAGCAGGGAGCACTATGTCTAGTATCCACTGGAGGAAACACCGATTTTCTGGGTCGGGGCAACAGGTACTTGGGGGGGGGGGGGCTTTTAGTGCTGCTACTCCCTTGAAGGCCTTTGAGGAAACACTGCTAACCTTGAGTGCTTTTACAGATGTTATCTGACACCACCATACCAAAGAACCTTTAGGTCCTGAATTTCACTAGAGCCTTTGCGGTCATGATGCTGCAACATCTGGCATCACCTGGGAGCTTGTTAAAAATGTAGGATCTTGGGCCTCATCAAACCCACTCAATCAGAATTCTCATTTCAACAAGACTGCCATTTGATGATTCATAAATGCATTACTATTTAAGAAGCACTGACCTAGAGTAATGCTCTCCAACAGAGAATGTAAGCCATGCAGTTGACCTTAAACAGTGAGACTCGATCTAGTTCAGCTCAAGGATTTTTGGAAATCTGGGTGTATCGTATTTGACCTTCCAGGTCCCTCCCCTTTTCCAACCTGTTCATTGCCAGGGAGACTGAGCTGGGATGGCTGCATCAACAGGCTCTGGGGCTTTTGACAAAGTGTAAGTTTCCTAGCTCTTTCCCTGCCATGTTTGTGTTCCTCCAGTGAAGGTTATTGCTGACTGAGCACTACTCCCTCCTGCTGGTCCTGGTGGCCTCTAGCCCTTGTTTTACTGCACACTTCGATGGTTCTCCACTTTCCCTGCACT